ATATTATTAGTTTTTATAATTCTACTTGGATTAGTTTTCCTATGATTAGTTTTCCTAATTTAGTTAAAGATTCCTTGTTGTTGAAGGATCTCTTATTAGTTAATTTGCTTTCCTATTTCTTAAAGTTTCCTTTTCCTTTTCCTAGACTAAAAAGGGTTTTGCCTCTATAAATAGAGTTGTTTGTAATCTTTTAAGGCAGACTTGTTTAATGATAAATTTCCTTACTTTAAACTCTCTGATTCCTTCCCTTTCCCTTCGTCTCTTCGATCTCTAATTCTTCTCCTCGATCTCTTATTTCTTCTCTGTTCTATTGCTCAAGTGTTTATTCTAAAACCTACGGGCTGTTCTACATCAATTGATTAGATGGAGTGTTTAGATTTATGTGTTATTCATTTTTTCAACTGTTAGAAACACCCTAAACATATAACAATGTGTTTTTTATGTCCTGTGCAGAACCTTGACAGAGAATTCACAATACGATGCATGTTTTTATAGAAGTTTTGTGTGGTTATTTAATTAGCAGAACTATTTCTCCTCCTTAATCCTTATTCAAATAGTTTCCCATGACATGTGGTTCCTCTTTGTACTCTGTTTGGTGGCTTAGTACAAATCGATTGCCACATGTATGATGTACGTGCTGCAAATTTATTTTCTTGTACTAACCTCTATCTGGACAGATTGCGTTTTTTGTCGATATTTTCTATTGTGGCTTTGACAAGCTTGGAATTACTAAGGTTGTTATTCAAAACTTTAGCAAATAGGGATGAGACAATTCTGTTATCCTTCCTTCTATTTTCTAATGTGTACATTATTAATCCTTAAAACTAAGTTGCTCCAATGAATTTTGTCTTAGCAAAGATGATAATTTAATGAAAACTCTCACAGCCTTACAGGTATGTTTTCTTTGTTGCAAAAGACTACACTGAAATATGGGCTTACACAATGAGAAGGAAAAACTAAAGGCTTCGCAGCAATCTCCTAACTTACAAGGTATGACTAGTTATGTAGTTCAGTTGAATATGGTTACAATCAAAGCGAACTTTTGTTCCTTTGCAAACAAACAATGAATGCTAACTTTGTTCAGTTTTTTCATTTCTTACCACCATTTAGAGCGACATTTTAGGGGAATATGAGACTGAACCTAAAAAACTTTCATTCATATTCTCTGGCATGGCTTGGCATATTATATTAAAAACAGATAAATCACCTATTTTGTTTTTCTTTTGTAAAAAATTCATCTTGTATTCAAATACTTGCATTGAATTGAAATGCAGAAATTTATTTCAGAATATAGGAAAACTCAGGATTTCAAAGATGCAAGATGGTAATTTCCTTGTTTGGTATCATCAACAAGGAAATTAGCAAATTATGTGTGGAAAACTGGTGGGATTTGCTGAAATAATTCTGACTTTAAATTTCATCAAAAGAGGCGCAAATAATTTTCTTACCGTGTCCTCCGTATAAGACCTTAACTGTCTCTACCCAAATCAGTCCTTTTACAAAGAGCCAGAGAGGGAAGGAAAATGATCATGTCGAGAATGGTGCTTTTCTGATGATTTTCGAGTTAGGTTCAATTCCAAATTATGCCTGAGACGTACCTATTGGCTCTTTGAATGGAAGCAAAACCATACGATGGGATTCTGCTGTATCTGCTTTGTGGGTGAACTGTTGCTGTTTCTTTGAGACCTCAGGTTGTCGGTCTCTGGTTTGTTCACTTGCTGCTTTTGGCATTACCTCTGGCTCTATAGAGTATAGAACTTTGTGATTTATCTAATTTCTTTTCTTTATTGAGATTACAGGTTCCATCTATTTATTTATTTTATTTCTCTTTGTGATTTATGTTTAAACATAATCTTCCAATCTTTGGGGAGTCTGGTTTTTTATCCTGCTGATGGGCTTCTTGTTCATCTCGTTCTGTACTTATTTCACCTGTTAATACAAGTTTCTTTTCCAAAATAAAAAAAGAACAAAAAATTGTGACCTCTCAGTCACTTACTGATTGTACTTCTGTGCAGTTGGACATGCATCTGCAGGAGCAATTTGTGAGGATTATTTTGAACCACGATGTAGAGCTGGGATTTATCTGACGCTACCTGTAGATTGTGAACTCAACAGTTACTGATGCTAAAGAAGAATATATGGACTTCTCCAAAATGAGGACTACCAGGAATGTTTTCCCAAGCAAAATTCAAGTAGACGGCATTATCAGATTCCAAAAATTTGTCTCCTTCAGTTGCCATATGTGCAAAAAGTGGGAGAATTTAAACCTCACTCCAGTTGTCTTTCAATTTAGGGTGAAATTATTGTATGGTACTGGAATGCGGTCACAGAATATAACCCATCCACATGGATATTATAACCCACAACCATGGGTTCAAAGTTAACCGTAAGGGTAGAAAATGACCCTTTCAATTTAGATTAGCTTAATAGCTTTAAAAATGAAGGTTAATTTATTAATTTAAAATGAAGCTTAACATTTCAAGTTGTTACTTCCTTGCAGGTCAAAAAGGCATTCCATATGAGGGAGATTAAGTAGAGTTCATTCCACATCCACTCCTTGCACTCGTCAATCACCACGCTCGAGTGTCATCCCAGGCACCATTCTGGAAATAAGTGCTCAGATGGTCCCACGGTTTGATCAAAATGGGGTTGAGAAGGGCAAGTAAGATGGGTCTTACAGTCAGGGGGTAGTCTTTAAGGAGGACCAGGGAAGCATTTCTTAGTAGTACACGACCTTCTTCCTCATCAGTTTCTCTTGGAGCATTTCCCCGGGAGATATCAAATGTAAGATGTTAAATTTGGATTTCATACCTAAGTGGCAATTTGACACTTTATAAATTTTTTAACTCCATTTGCAAATATCATTTTATTTTGTTATATTTTTAAAGGTAAATATGGCTTATATAATCAAGGCTTAACTGCTACAGTGCTCCTTGAAACATTGGTCAATTTTTACTTATCCCCTCTCAAGGTTAAAGTGATCCACTTTGTCCCATTGACCGATATTTTTTGTCTCACTTTGCCTCTCATCGTCAAGTTTGTTAAAAATTCTATTAAAAAAGCTGATGTGGCACTAATGGGACTCACTATTTAGCTAAATTAAATGCCATGTGTGAAGAAAAAAAAAATTGTCTTTTAAATAGGCCCAACACGTCTGACAACACTTTCCTGGCCAATCCCCTGTGGTTGCTCGCCGACGCCAGTGCAATCTTCGCCACATCATTCGCTGTCTCTAGGGGCTCTACACCTCCTTGCCCAAGTATTCCACTTTCCCGTCATTTTCTTCGACCGCATCTACTTTCTCATTGGAACCCACCAAAACCACGTTGTTTTTCGGTAACAGAGCAGAAGCAGAGCTTTCAACGGCAAGCTCATGTGAAACTTGAGCGTTCTCTTCCAGAAAGATAGAATTTTGGGCAGCAACACTAACCGATTTCGGGCCTCGCGACGGCTCAGCTTGTCTCTTATCTTGCCTTTGCTGCTGTTCTTCTTGGTCTTCTCGCCGTTGGCCAGGTGATCTTCGGAGGCTTCGATGGCTTGGTGGATGGGCTCGCGGTTGGGGGAAGAGTCCCATTTGAACCAAGGGCGGTTATCTAGTGAGAACGCTTATGTGCGAACGTTATATGAGAACCAAATCCAGCCATCCAAATTATCTGAACGGCTAAAGAGAAAAGGCAAGCTTATGGTAAAAATGGGTAAGCTGCAGTTCCCCTTAGCCCAAGTGTCAAGTCACGCCTGCTTCGAACAAACGCGCCATTCTTCTTCCTGACAGTGGCCAGTCGCACCTTTCTTGTCAATAAATTGATGAATTTATGAATGAACCCAAAATACCTACCAGACATAAATTTGTGTATTTATCTTGTCGCAGAAACTCTCTGGTGTGCTCTGGCTCCTTCACTTCCTCCCTCATCTAATATTTCTCATTTGAACGTCTGAGAAAGTACGTTTCTCTCGAATTCCATCTCTTTCATTCATATTAAAGTTTGCATGTTATATTGCATTCAGTTAATGTTTAAATCACTTAATGTTTAAATTTTTTTTAGGATTTTAGGCCATTGATTTTCTGGGTAACAGTAGTCTGTCTCTGATGTAGGATTTTAGGCTTTGATTTTCTGGGTAAGAGTAGTCTGTCTCTGTAGTAGTTGTGTTTGCAAAAATATAAATTGGCGTCAGTTGTTTTGTTTGCGTCTTTTTCTAGTTTCTAGTAATTTGTTGAAGCATAGTAACTAATTTTTAAAGTATTTCTGCAGTTTAAATATTATTTACTTTAAGTTGGGTTGTCTTTTTATCGCAATTCATTGTGGTAATTTGTTGAAGTGTAGACTCACAGCTGTTGGTTGTTCCTATATTTTTTGCATTGTGCTTGCTTGTTGTCTTTTCTTAAAATTCCAGGAACCTTCATGTGTTGGTCATTGTAATCCTGCTTTGCCCATCTAGTGGTGTGAGTGTATGACATCATTTTAGGGATTTAATAGGGTTTGGAAAACAAAGAATAAGTACCATTAGAAGTAGAACGCAGAAGAGAAAATTGAATCTTAACTGTGAATATGAGATGATTTGGGATGCAGAAGGATCAATGCATCTTCTAGTAGGTATCAATTTTGTGTGTGAATGTGTTGAAAATAGTGTTTGTAGGTGAGTTGAAAACAGTGTTTCAATTTTGCATCTTAATGTGTTAAAAATAGTGTTAGTAGGTATCCATTATGCATCTGAATGTTTGAAAATAGTGTTTGTAGATATTAATTATGTATGTTAATGAGTTGAAAATAATGTATTAGTTTGCATCTTAATATGTTGAAAATAGTGTTAGTAGGTATCCATTATGTATGTGAATGTGTTGAAAATAGTGTTTGTAGGTATTCATTATGTATCTTAATGTGATGAAGATGTGTAGATAATATTGTCAGTAGGTATCACTTCTGTATGTTAATGTGTTCATACTTGTGTGAGCAGGTATCACTTCTGTTTCTTAAGCAAAAGGTGTTTGTTGCAGTTATAAAATGGAATGTGGGTTCGAACTTTGTTTGCCGGAGTCAGAGATCTATGCTGCACGGGTGAATAATATGTGTGTGGCGCATTCAGTCCTGTGTAATTTGGGGGCTCATTTCAGTGAGTTGCTTATGAAAAGATTTAGAGAGAGCTGTTTTGGGCACCTGTTGGACCTCCATAAAATTGCATTTAGTGGTCAAATTGTGCATGCTCTGGCACTCCGGCGAGTCGGAGGACTTGGTGTTAAGGACATGCTGGGCCTTACTTATGCAATAGGGTCCAATATTGCCCAATTCAGTGTAAAGGATTTTTGTTTAATAAGTGGTATGAAATGTGGAACATAGCCTGGTATAACGTCCGGGGGGGATGCTCATAATCGATTTATGAGAGCGCATTTTAGCAACAGGGGTCACATTACTTGCAGTGACTTAGAAAATGCATTCCTAAAGTCCGAAAGAGGAAGCAAGGACTCGTTCAAATTGGGACTGCTGTATTTTGTGGAGTTTGTGATAATGGGTAAACCCCAAAATGTGAAGATAAACGAGGAGTACTTACATTTGGTTCATAAAATGGACGAATTCAACAATTATCCGTGGGGATCTATATCTTTTGAGTGTCTGCAAGATTCTCTGTTGTTTGCTCCTGGGAAGAAAGAGAGTGATGAAGAAAAATGGGAAGGGAAAAGGACAGGAAAAGGGAAAAAAGGCGGTGCGGAGTTCAGTGAGGAAAGGGAAGAAAAAGGTGGAAGATGAGAAGCCTAAAAGAATAAACAGACCTGCATGAAATATAAAGGGATTGAGCTATGCTATCCAGGTATGATGTAGTTCAAAATTAGTGTTTGTAAAATTTTAGTTCGTAATTAAGTACTGACTTTGATAATCTATTTGTTGTAGATTTGGATGTATGAATTAATCGCTGAATTGGGAATTCCCCCCTTAGATATTGTAAGCGGATCGAGGAACCTGCATTAGTCCCTCGAATTTGCCGGTGGGAATCCACGGATAAAGTGCCTGAGTTTAGAAAGCTGAACCCTTATATATTTCAAAGCAAACAGGTGTGTAGTTAATAATTTATTTCAATACTAAATTCGTTTCATGAAGAAAGTTGTTTAGTATTGTGTATGACCTGTTAACTCTATGTGATTGATAGCCTATTATACTACGCCTCTTATGACCAAGTCAATTGGAGATGAGCCAACCGTATTGGAGTTGGGGATCAGATGTTCCTGAATTTGATGCACCCGGTGTAGGTCTGCAGGTATGTAAGGACCTTGATGAATTAAACTCTGTTGTGCAGCAGTTGAGGAATGAGGTTGCAGTATTGTACCGTGAGAAGGGTCAGCTAGAGGAGAGAGTTTTATGCTTGGAAAAGTGTACGAGGCATGCAGACGCGAGGAAGACTGGGGATGCTGGAGCAGAGAGGAATAAGACTAAGGATGCTGGAGAGGAGAGGAATAAGACTGAGGATGCTGGAGCGGAGAGGAATAATACTAAGGATGCTGGAGAGGAGAGGAATGAGACTGAGGATGCTGGAGAAGAGAGTCAGAAGACTGAGGATGAGGATGCTGGACAAGAGAGTTAGAAGACTGAGGATGCTGGAGAGGAGAGTGATAAAACTGAGGATGGTGGAGTAGCTGAATCGAGAGAGCAGTGTGTACAAAATGCTAAAGAAGAGGTGCAATATACACCCTCGGATATAAATTGGGATGATTCGGGTGTGGTGTGTGTCACCCTTGTTAAATTTCTTACGAATCCTCCTCGAAAGATTGACACGTCCACTGCTGAGGATGAATGTGGCGAATATGTTATAGTTGGGGTCCGGCAAAAGAGGGGTCGGGGCAAGAGTGAGATTCTTGGCCCTGCGATGAAGAGGCGAAAGGCAGTGGTGAGGGAAACTCCATGGACAGGTTGGGAGATTCCCAATATTTTGGAGGACACAATTGCTGACCCCCTCAGGCCTGTTCCTCATGATTCCCTTTTGGAGGTTGCGAAATTCTGCTGGGAATGGGGACAAGAAGAAAAGTAAGTTCCCACTGCCCATCCTTCGTGAAATGTAAATTGTTTATTATGATTAGTTATTGAGTGAATAGTGAAACGGAATTGATAATAATAATGATTCACAAATACAGTTCACATGTGCGGTTATGTGGAGAAGACGGTATGGAAGGTTCGCATAACTTCTTTGTTCGATTGCTGACCAAGGATGGTTGGTTGGATGACTCGGTAAGCATTGTTTGATTTGCGATTTTGGCGAAATTGCCATGCTATGTAGTGATTTATTGATTTAATAATGGAAACAACCCTTTTATGTAGAACATAGACATGGCCTTGCTTTTGGTACGGGAGCACCACGAGAGGTCTGGCAACTGGGTAGGTTCTGACTGGACAATACTGGACACTACTTTTCAGGTCTGTATTATTTCTTAAGCATTGTTTATTTTCAAATTTGATATCCGTTATGATGCATAACTCGAGTGCCACTATGCAGAAATGTGTTGCCTTGGATTACAAGGAAATGAAGGCGTATGTGGGAAAGGAGGACAAGCCACACAGCAAGGGTCTACTGGGAATGGTCAAGGGCGAAGGGCTGAAGTTGGCTAAATCATGGTCGTCTGTGAATCGTGTTTGTTTGCCCTTCAACCTACAAAGGCAGAAGCACTGGATCTTACTTCTTGTCGATTTAAAAGAGTGTGAGATAAGGGCATATGATTCAAAAGTAGATTTGTGCAGAACTCAAGCCATCCAATGGGCCGTGCAGCCGATGGCGAAAATGCTGCCTCGGTTGTTAAAGGAATCTGGATATATTGGCGACGGTCTGATTCGAACAGCGAGTGGCCAGTTATTCGCGTCATGGATGCACCCCAACAAGTAGGCGGATGAGTAATATTCCACCTAAAGGATTGTCTTATGAAATGGATTTGTTGTACAATGAATCACAGCTTCTTCGATATGTTTTAGGGGCGACTGTGGGATGTACATCCTCAAATATTGCGAGTTTCTGACCTCGAATGTAGACCTGGCCAAGATTTCGCATGACGCCATGCCCTTGTATCTGTTGAAGCTCGCTGTATAGTTGTTACAGGGATATTCGTAGCTGTGATTCAGTAGGAGATACTATAACTTGCAAAGTTAACTTTTAATTGGGTGGGTGTAGTGTAGTATATTAACATGCAATGTTAATTGAACTGGGTGGGCAATTTTGTTGGTAACAGACCTTATATTCATGAGTTACCAAACCAACCTTTGTATAATAATATTAATATAAGGGTAGCTTGCAGAGCTTTCTTCGCAGGCTTGAGCGCATCTTTCCCCTTTCTATTTTAGTAAGGTTTTGAAAAGGTAGTTTTCTTGTTGTTGCCTGCGTAAATCTCACAGCCTGGTACTCCGTGCCGAGGGGATGTGCGTTAACACGTGACGTCCTTTTTTTGGATGCGGTGCAGTTGTGCTCAGGCGTGCCAGCACGGTCTACCGTGCATCGAGATGGTGATGAGGTTTGGGTTAAATGATGTGCCTGTTTTGAGTTCGACTCCTGATCAAACGATTGTGGCCGAGAGAGGAACTGATCTCAGCCGTCAGGTTCACTGCCTGAGCTACAAGGCCGTTTAGTGGTGGTGTTGGGCAGAGAGCGACGGTCGTATGATATATTGATGAATGGATTTTCCTTACAATCTACCATTACTCCTAGGAAAGCAAATAAAGGTATTGAAAGTGCATGACAGGAAAATATAATTTGCCCCATGGGAGGCTTTTGGTTTGGTGTTTGAACCTCTTGAATGTAGTCTTGAGCTTAGCATTTATAGGGGGAGTCCTGGAGGGACAATCGAGGCCGAAAAGATCTACATGGTGGAGTATGATCGGGGCAAGTGGGTAGTCAAATCGGCATTTGGAATCGTGAAGTATGGTGGTGTGACCACCATAGATCCTGGTAAATCTCAATCACTGCCCTGATCGTGGGTTCTGCCCTCTTGGCTGTGGGAACACATTTAATGCCCTGGTCTGGTGGTTAGTGATCTGACCTCAAGTTGTAAGATTACTTGTGAGAATATTGGCGCCTAACCACTCTGATTTCCATTACCAAATCCTGACTTCAGTCACTTCCCCTCTCCCCTCGTGCATTAAATGCTTCTTGCGACTAGTGGGCTTGCTGCGATAGTCAGAGGCATTACTTCATTAAATGGGGCGTGGGACCCTGAGTTCACGTGGCGATTTAACCACAGTATCTTCGACCGTGGCCTTTACGGCCTTCGGCTTCGGCCTATAATACCGCGGTCGCGAGGCCGAGAGGTTTCTGCCTTTGCAGCTTTTCTTTTGTTTTTAGGAGGGCGAAATGCCTAACGAAACGTGGCCGTTTCAATTCATAAGTAGGTGCTAGGGCTGAGAGGAGGTCCCTTCGGTCAGTTCATGACCGTGATTTATTAGGCACAAACACTTGTTTGTTAAGAAACAAAGTCTTTTTTATGATCCAACTCCCTCTTTTCACTTAAAATTAAAGAATAAGTTTTTGTATTTTGTTCAAATACAAGCTCTATGACCTTGAACACATATTGTTGACTGTATGCTGACCCGAACCCTAAATGGTGCATGATTCTTTTCAAATGTCGAATAAATAGTAATGTATCTTATTTAGGGCAAACACAATTGTGAAGTTCAGATGCAGGCATATGAAATGTTGAAGTTTGTCATTAACTAATTGTGCTGAAGGCGTAATTATATTTCTACATTTCCAACACATCTTATATGTAGCTGTCCGGATTACAAAATTACAAAACATATACTTAAACCCAAAACATTTCTTGCTTTTTCATCAATTTAACAGCCAAATTCAGAAATGATAGAACTAACATGAGTAGGAGGATTTTATGAATGCCCTTCAGTATACGGATTACTTCAGCATATGCATTAAGTTCCTTCATATCCACCTGGTTTTGAATGTCAGATTCATTTGGGGTGTTGGCTGCTATCACCCATTCATAGCCACTACACCTTGTAGCTCCCTATACAAACAAAATAAAAATAAAAAAACAAACTATATTTTTCAGTCTGGGATTACAATATCAAACCATATTCTTTTATATGGAGCAGTTTCAGTTTCGGATTACTGTTTATTATATACAGCTTATTTGGTTTTACATACGAGGTTTAGGAAGATTATACTTACATATATTGTGAAGCACTTCCAATACGGTCTGCCTTGATTCCTTTCGGATTTGGAAATTAACTTCACCATCTTAGCATTGTAGTGCCGACACCTCTTTGCTTCAGTGTTTAATGAAGAAATCGACATCTCTTTGCCCAGAGTTGAAAATGAAGAAAATAGAAGAATTATACCCTTCCAAATATTTGGTCAAAACCCCGAAATTATTTTCCTCCGATTCTGAAAAGGAATTGGATTTTATTATTTGGTCAAAACATATATATGGAGTTTGAAGTTTGAATTCGCCTTTATTAGTCCCGACAATCCGTGAGCGGGAAATTCCAAAGTTGAATGTTTTTTTATATGTTTAAACCTAATACATGAGCGGGAAAATGAAAAGCATTGCTGTGGGGAATTTTTAATAATATTTTTACCCTAAACCGTAGCCTTAAAGGCATTTATGAAATGAAAATATAAGTAAGACAAAAATTAAAAGGAAAAGGGGCGTGTGGCGCCATGGGGATGCGCCGCGTGTCGTTGAGGTCTGCAACTCCCCACTACGGCTCCGCCACTTGGCATTCCGTGTGTATTTTATTCCCTTTTTTTTTTCAGAAAATCG